CCGTAAAACTCTTACTAAACTATAACTGGAACTGAAAAACTACTGAAACCTCCCCTCCTCCCCCTCCCCTCCGTCCCCTCCCCCTCCCTCCCCTGTTGTCTATGTTTTTGTAACTTCATATAGAGAGGTTTGATTTACACGCATTGCGCAGTCGAATAGAAGTGACAGCATGCGTAGACTAGAGCGCCACTAATAACTGTAATTGAATAAGATATTAGGTCAAGTTTTAATAAGAACAAATTAATTAATAGAGAGACTGCACCATTTAAATGCCTTGTTATTTATTATTAAGAAATTGCGATAGATTGAGAACTGAATAAGAAAATAACCAAGAGAAATCATGAACAACCAAGCTTGTACAGTTTTTACTGAATAAGTAACTAAGAGAAGTCATCAATAAGTTGAAAAAGTTAAAATAAATTAGGAAAGAGTAATAAATGAAAAAGAAAGTAATTGAAAGAAATCATGAGCGAATTGAAAATTGAATAAGAAATTTGGAAAGAGTAAAAAGTAATAATAAATTGGAGAAATTATGAAGACTGAAACTTGTACAAAGTTTTTCAGTTCCACGATAAGATGGTCTCTACCTTGACCAGAATGAGAAAGGAAATGATGATGATTTTTTAAATATTTTTTTTGGTTTCCTTAATGGGCCTGGTGGACTCCACGAAGAAATCTTCGAGCGAGAGCGAGGCTCTTTTTTCGCTCCATTGTCAATATGCTTAGAGGCACCTCCACTCGTCCAAATAAGTCCTTTCAAATTGCCATTGATGATGATGATGATGACGATGATGATGATGATGATACGATAATAATAACAATAATGATAACGATGATGATGATGTGAGGGAAAATGTTTGTTTGACTGTCTTGTGCGGGGTGGAGATGTGAGCAACGGTGCAATGTCTGTTATAGCTTTGTTATGTCAGTGTTATGTCATGGTTCATGGGGCGGGTGGTTGGAGGGCGTCACTGGTTGGCAACACTTCTTTACTCTGCTTCGTTTGTGTCTGTCTTTTGTCAGTTGTTGTTGTGTTGTTGTTTTTTTTTTGGG